GGAAGCTAACGGCCAATCGCAGACTTTCGCATGTTGACGACCCTAAACCCTAAACGGCCCTCAACCTAAACCCTACCTACTACCAAACGGCCGCTCAACCTAAACCCTACCCACTACCCAATGCCAAGCTACTACCCCGAACTCCTACTACCTACTTCCCTTTGCAAGCTACTACCCCTAACTCCTAACTTAACAACCAAGTGGGAAGTTCTCTAAAAAAACGACCGTTTGGAAGCCTCCCCAACCCGAAACGAGGACTGCCCGGGCCCCAAGGAGGACTCCCCAGACCCGAAGGAGGACTCCTCGAGCCTGAAGGAGGACTCCCCAACCCATGAGAGAACTCCCCATACCCAACCCATACCCAACCCGTCTGAGCGCTCTGGTCTGGCCTCATCGGAAACCTCATCCGCCGCCGAGCCTAAGCATCATGACATCATGACAGGGAAACAGAAGAAATCACAGTTGTCTTCTGCCTGCCATAAATAGCAGAAACTGTCAGAATCAGAAGTCTAAATCACAGTTCGGCATTGGGAACGCTGTGGTCGTGCACACATTGCTCTGAGTCTGGTACAACGTATAGTCGGAGGCGAGTTTGTCAGGCGTGTCAGCCAGGGCAAAAAACCGCGATATTAGACTGACAGATTTCATTGAAGCAAATGTACCTCTAGGTTAAGGTCCCCCATCTATACCCCCATGTTAGTGTAGCATAGCCCTTGTTATAAGACATGCAAATCCCCAACGAGGCTCACACTGCAAAAGGGCGCCGCTCGCATCCTGATGAGCCCAGCCCCAAGGTTGCTTTGGCCTTGGGCGCGGGCGCCAGGCATTTCTGCTGTTAGGGTTCAGGGTGTAGGGGGAGGTTTTATTGAGACCGTTAGGGTTTAATCAAGTTTGGGTATGGCTGCAGGCGACTGAAGTTGAATCCTAAATGTTGTGCAGCGTTGACTCGCAGCGTTGACCCTATGTGTATGCAACCATCGCCCACAGCCGCCTGCCCCTCTGAAGCTGACTGGCGAACAGAGCAAGCTCAATCTTAGTGGCATCTTTTTCGAAACCGCACGGGGAGCTCATGTCTTCAGCCCTCCTCGCTCGGGGAAGCCTGGCCACGAACAACGAACAATGAAGGGGTTTAGTCTGACTTCGAAACCACCCCGTGCCTTCTCCGTCGGAACCCATGTCGGACTCGAACTGATGTCCTCTTCGTCCTCTGATGCTGGCCCTTCCGTCGGCGAGGTCAGGAACGCCTCACATGATCGCAAAAATTGGTTCCGACATGACAACGAAGCGTGAGTTTACCCAGCTGCCTCCCAAACTTCTGGCATCTCCGGAAAAGGGGTTTCGGGCTCCTTCACAAACAATACAGAAAAACAACAACCTCAACAACTGGAAGCCGTTAACAGCTAGCACATGGTCCTCATCTGACGCCGAGGTCTCCTGCAGAAGGAATGGAGGACACCCTGCCTGGAAAATCCGGGCACGAATCAGAATGCCTTTAGGCCAGCAGGCTTCGCTGCTGGAGCCGCAGCAGCAGCCTCCAGCAAATGGCACAAAAGATAAGGCTCCTTGCTCAACAACTAGGGGAAAGGCCTTCGCGACTGGCCCAGCCAAGCGCTTCTCATTCTCCTGCCGGGCCGGCCTGGGCCTTCTGTTCCAGGATCCCTCGGAACTTGTGAGCCGCCTTCTTCCATTTGTGAAGCGCTGCCCAAACCTCCTGGATCTTTGCCCGAGCTTTGTGGAATCTCGACTGGTACTTGGAAAGCCGGGCCACCTGCTTCTCTGCTTGGATCGCCTTGCCCTTCCATCTCTTCCATTTCGCCTTGTAGGACCGAAGGACTTTCTCCTGGCTGGCCCCTGCCTCTCGCTGGGCTTTGCGTTTGATTTGTCGCTTGTATTTGTTCATCGCCGTGTTCTTGTATGGTCGCTGGTTGTGCTCGGGTCTCTCCTTCGGCCTGTTGTGCTCGGCACTCTCCGCAGCATGCGAGGCCTGGGCGGCTTGGGACTTCTGGGGCTCATCGGCTTCGAACCAAATCCACACTCCATCGTCCTCCACGTACTCGTGCGGAAACCCCTTTAAGGACCAGCCTTTTTCTTCGGTCCAAGTCCATGCCTTGCCATCGTTCGCCACGTACTCGTAAGAGTCCTTCGTTACAGACCACCCTGCATCGGTCTGCGTCCAGATCCTTCCATCGTTGTCTACGAACTCCCAAAAGCCAGTCATGGCATCGTCGCTGCCACCGCAAAATGTGACTCCTTACTGATTCCTATATTCAAGGCTTAAGGTGTCAGCGTGTAATGCCAAGATGCCGTTTTTGTCGGGTTGGAGGGCGAAATACTGAAGATTCTCCTCGAAATGCCCTCTGTTGTGCAGACTAATAAGTGAATGTCATGACCAACTTCTGACATGGCATATCTCTGTGGGCCACAGTCAGCTCGTGGTTTCAATCAGCATGCTTTGCTAGTGCACGCGGTATCGCGCAAAGCAACCCCTCACACTGCAGATGTGTCACTGAGCAGCTCATGCGGAATTGATTGTCAGACGAGTTTCCTAGCCGTGCAGCTGTAACAGGTTTTGGCCAACCCTTGCAGCACTGCCAAGCCATTCTTAGGTCGTGACATGGACTTCCTCTTGGCAGCGCCATCTGTTGCCACAGCCTTGGCTGCTAGGGCACGAACATGACCTGGACATTGTTGAGTTCTGAGTTGGTTCGATCGGGTAGGCACGTGCTTTACAGGGGATTCGTCCGTGTCACGCCCATAATCGCACAAGACGAACTTGAGCATCATGGAATTGATGTACCTTTTAGCCGGACCGGTAATCTTCGGGCAGCATGATAAAGGATGCTTTAGTGGGGGGTGAAGTAAGAGGATCTACTGGGTCGGTCGGGTCGAAATAAGATACCTTAGGTTGGAAAGCGGGCTATGCAGCAATTTACGGCGCTTGGCCAGTGATTCGGACCGCTGAGTTTGAGTTGAAACTCTGCTGAGCACCCAGCTTGAAAACCAGCCTGAAGGCCATGGCTTTGCTTTGGGATGGTGTGTGTTTGGGTTTGGGATGTTAGGGCTAGGGTTTAGGTCGTTTAGGTTGGGGTCGTGGTGCCTGTTCAGCACTCCGGCGCCTGGTGGGCACCCTGGCCTGTGCCGATGCCTGTTCGGCATCCCACTTTTTCGATGTCTGTTCGGCATCCCACTTCGTGTATCATGCCTGTTCGGCATCCCACTTCTTGTCCGATGCCTGTTCGGCATCCCACTTTTCTGATGCCTGTTCGGCATCCATCTTGTTTTAAATGCCTGTTCGGCATCCCACTTTCCTGATGCCTGTTCGGCATCCCACTTCTGTTATGATGCCTGTTCGGCATCCAACTTCTTTGATGCCTGCTCAGCATCCTGATACAGAGACGCCTGTTCAGCATCGCTCGGTATCCATTTGCCTGCTTGGACACCTGCTCTGATGCCTGCACAGCACCCCTGCTTCTTTATGCCTGTTCAGCATGCCACTGTCTCAACCAAGTATTATGTCCGCTGGCAGAAGTAGTAGTCGTATAGTAGCAGCAGTAGCCGTAGCAGCAGCAGCAGGAGGAGGAGTAGTAGTAGTAGTAACTACTGACAGCAGTAGTAGTAGTAGTAGCAGCAGCATTAGTAGTAGCAACAGTAACAGTAGTAGTAGTAGTAGTGGTAGTAGTAGTAGTAGCAGCAGTTGTAGTCGTCGTCGGAGTCAGGACTTGCTACTAGTCAGCATGTGAGTGCACATACGTGTATCAGTGCACATGTCTCTGCAGGCTGCTTTGTAGCTTTGTTGCATGTTGTGTCTAATTTGAAGTTTTATGCCAAACAAATGTTTTTGGCTCAAGTGCTTTGCTTCAGTCACCTAACTTGCTGCAGTGGCTGCGAGTTGGGAGTGCATACTCGCAAATGTGAACGCCGAGCCCTGATGATGCTACGCCTGGTCATCACAACTTGCACCACGGACAATTGTGACTACTTGGCGGGGCGTGGGCACACGCCCTGGTGCTCACATTGTGCTGAGACAGGGGGTCTCATGCACAAGAAAAGCTGCTCGGGTCGGCAGCTGAAGCTCCAGGCGCTGCGGCAAACAGCTGGTGCCAGTGCTGAGGGAGTGACACGTGAAATCATAGACCTGGAAGCTATGGATTAGTATTTTCCTTCGTGACTTTATCTCTTAGATAGGGGGTCCACCAATGCGTGGAGCGGCTTAAAGTCGCCGGACATCCAGTCTGCCTCATCGTCAGACGCCCGGATTGTGTGCGAGACGTCGGCAATGCAATACTACTACTACTACTACTACTACTACTACTACTACTACTACTACTACTACTACTACTACTACTCTCCTGCTGCTGCTCGTGCTCGAGAAGTGCTAGTGCTAGTGCTCGTGCTAGTACGAAAATGCCAGTCTATGCTCGTCTAGTGCTAGTGCTAACCCAGATCACAAGATTCTTTACAGCACACAACGATGCACAGCGGATCTGTTTCTATGCGAAGGAGCACGAAACTCGGTTGTCACAATGATGCACTTCTGTGTACATTGGATGAATCGATGCCGGAGGCTTGCATGTCTTCTGCAAAACGATTCTGGACACCGAACGCGAGTCCCGAAGGTAAGGAAACCCGCAACCCACGAGCCACGCGTAACGCCTGGGCGACACTACCACGTAAGCCCAGTGGACTCGAAGTAGCGGAAGCCACCGTGAGTACGGCCACACTCCCAGCGCAGAAGCAAAGGGTGGGCAGGGAGGGAGAAAGATGCTGAAGAGCTAGTCCCTAAGAGACACAGCTTAATCCGAGGCTTCGGAGAAGTGCATGTGTCGCTTCAAGAATAGACCCTTCTAGACCCAAACCAACCAGGCCATTCTATAGAAGGTGATCTAGCCATCAACTGCGATATCAGGCCAAGTGCCTCATAACGAAAGCCTACAGTTCGGAGGGTTATGAGCTGTGCAGTGAAGCTGGTTCGTGGTCGATGTCATCATCTCTCACAGCATTCAATGTACAGCACAGAGAACCGAAACAAAACCTTCATGGTAAGGCCGGCACAGGCAGGCTTTGTGATGTTGATCCGTCCCTCTAAGCTCATCTGTATGCTGCTGCAGACGAAGGATGTGACCTTGGGGAATCGAACATCTGTGACATGCTGAGGGCAATGGAGGGCGAGTGGGTCCGATTTGTTCAAGTCTCTTGCTTTCGAGCTGAGAGTGTAGAGCGCTTACACCTGCAGAAGCGTCAGAACTGCTACGAAATACTCCAGGGTGCAGAATACGTGACAACAAATTCCGGTGGCTTGGACACCCACCCGCACCTGCTGAAGAAGCCTTCCGCTGCTGCTGGAGGGTCTCTCGTAGCTGGTGATTCTCCTTCAACACCTCGGGCGGCTGGGACCGCAACTTACGAGACTTGCGATAACGCCGGGCTGACTCTCACCACACGAAAGCTTTGTGCACGCATCTGTTGGCTGCACAAGTATAGAACGCAAGGGCAATACACCCACCCCGAAGCTACTACTGACAAGTAGAGGCCCTTCATCATTCCCACTTCTGATTCGGTATTACATAGTGCGGACAAGGATAAGCTTGCACACCGCATCAGTATGCGAACGGCTCTTTACGAGTCGACTCGCGCCATCCTCTCGGGTAGTGCTCATGTTTAAAGTCACTGCACCTTGCTCAACCAGCCTGCAAATCAACTCTGTCCGCGAATACAAAAACTGAGTAAGAACGTCTTGCTGCAGGTCGAGCACAAGCTCCCAAACTCCGCGTGAGACTCTCGCATACTTGTCGTCACTCCTCTTAAAGGAGGGATTGCCGGAAATCCACATGCACGCAATCTCATCTTGGCTCCGGTATTATGCTTTATACCTGGACAGTGGCACATGAAAAAACTTGTAGTTATCGTGAGACTGACACGTGCCTTTTGCCGCCGCTTCCCCGGTTCTTCTGCAACTGGGCATGGTACCTGGGACAAACGCAATGTGACCTGCCAACAAGTGCCTGAGTCGGGCCATTTTATCATTAGCTGGGGCACTTCGAAGGAACCTGTTCGACCAGCATTCATATTCAGGATCAATGGACATCCCCGTAACATGCGTCACCGTCCAACACGTGGCCTCCCAGGCAAAAACCATGCCGTCAGCGGCACCAGTGAAGAGACTCTTCCTGAGGCTGTTTGCGACTGCACACGCTCATTTTCACGCAGCCGAGGCCCGAGCTGGTCCGGCGACCAAGCGACGTCTCGTATCCAAGCCTGCTCACAGTCACCCAAGCAGGCACCATTTCCCTTTTGCAACTCGGAAAGCTCCTCGTGTGCTGTGAACTTGGCGAGGAGCAACGGATTGAAGAGTGACCTGTCACGAGACTTCCTTCTGTTGCTCAGGAGTCTGCACCACTGGCATACATCCTTTTTTAAAACACGTTCAATCTTCAGTCGAGACGATGCGAGACCCTCGCCTGAACCCGTCGCCGACACACTGTGCGTGGCCGAGGCGATGGCACCGGTGGCCGGTGGCACCGTGATTCTTCGAAACCGCGAAATCTACACATCTTCGCCGCTGCGATGCAAGACAGTAGAGTCAGTAGAGCAGAGAGGCAAAGGAATCTGGCATTTCCCCTTACAGCATCGGATGGGACGCTGCGGCTTCAAGCACAGTCAGTGTCACCAATGTCTGGATGTTCAGGGCCAGACAGGACAAGAGATGACAAGAGAGCGAAGTGAGGCAAACAGCATAGAAACGCCAAGTTGCTTATGGGCTTTCGTTTGAAATGCACCTCTGGGAGCCCAACGGTACCCAAATCCTCACCGAGCAGTCTTTGGAGACGCTGGCCTGGGAAAAGCTTGTAGCTCTCTCCGCCAAAGAGCTTAAGCCCAAATCCTATGCATTTGAAAGCTGCATGTTTCCTCTCCCTGGCAGTGATTGTGAAGTTCCAGCGCATGAGGGAGGGCTTTTCTACTGTTGCTGCGTCCTCTGTCAGAGACCTCCGTGGCCGTGGCGGCGGCTCGGGAGCTGAGCCCAAGCTGAGCCCAAGCTAAGCGCCGAGCCAGCAGCTGCCCGTCCCTGAACGAAACGCGAAACGAAACGCCCGCGCCAGGCTGATGGCGGCTCAGCGAGTTGCTGAGAGCTACTGGCTGAGGGCGGCACCCGGTGAATCTGACCCGAGAAATTCCGCCTCGACGGCTGCGCAGTGACACTGAGACGCAGAGAGGTACAGCGCAGTTCTGTGATGCTTGACTGAAGCACGTCCTCCGTGTGTGGAGGGTGAGCTCTACGAGATCTTCCTCTTGACAAAACTGCACATCTGCCTCCAAGTCTTCTTGTGAAACCTGTGCTGTGCTGTGCGGCATTGGCCCGAAGCCTGCGACCGAGACTGCCTCCTTGGCATCCCGGGCCCCCAAGAATGAATGGGCAAAGATCAAACCGTGAGCCATCGAAGATGAAAACTTACTTCTTGCAGTACTCTTCGCTTCGCCGCATCGTTCATTTTGCAATGCGCATGTACCAGCTACACAACAGGTCCTGCATCTGCTCGAGTTCTGGCAACAAGGACTGTGTCGTCGGCAAGCTCGACATCTTTTTCATGAACCCTTTCCTAACAGCCCCCCGCGGGTTCAGAGCCGTGCAAACTTGCTTCAATCATTGTTGTGTCATCAGTGTACATTCTTTCATGAAACCTTTCCATGGAACTGTTATGCAAATGCGATTTGCGACATGTGGAGCTTGCTTGTCAACATGTTGACATGCCGTTTCCACCACATGAATAGCTGGAATGAACAGTGCAGAAATTCTGTAGATTACAGCGTTGGAGGCTTCTTTTGACTCGGACATGCTGCAATTGACAGCATGTGGAAGTTGTGAATTGCCAAAATGCAGCGATCTACAACATTCGAGCTTTGCAATTTGCAGTATTTGGAACAAGAAAGGAATGCCAACGTTAGCAAGCAAAACCTGGGAGGGCCAGGGTTAGAAATGGAACCGCCTCCCCAACCCCGTTCCGGAACACGGGTCAGGAACTGTCTCGTCACTCCAGGAGCTTGATGCGGAACCTGCCCCCCAAGACCGCACCGCGGAACTCTGCATGGTCCAGCGTGTGCTCCCGAACCACCCCTCCCGGACAAACGACAACATGGCCGCCCGTGCTCACCGAGACGGGTGCCACTGGACCAGAATGAGAATCGGGCCCAGCTCAGCATAATTAATCACTGCTGTACAGAAAATGCTTTCGGTGCTATGCGACAGCTTTTTATCAGCCTCTGCTTCGACCACTCAAGGGTGAAGTCCAAACTATGCTCTCCCTTTCCCGCTTCGTGGCCAGCCGACGTGGAGCACAAAACGACGACGGTCGGGAGCAACAGGACAAATTCAGTTTCGAAGCGGCAGCCGTCTACAAGAAGGTTCGCATAACGGCAACCTGCAGCATAAGACAAGGCACGCTGGAATGACAGGAGAAAGCATGAGCAGCATGATGGAGCGAACTTACCGAGCATGAAGCCATAGAATAATGGAAAACTGAACCCAGTACATTTCTAATGTCGGGTATTCCCACTTTACAGAAAAGGCAACTGCCGACAAGCCATTACAAACCCATAGAAAGCTAGATAACCCTGAGCAAACAGTCTCGGACTAGCTTGAGTGTGCACAAAACGCGAATAAAGCCCTCCAGCCCTGCCATGCAGCTGGAAGCGCTAGCTGCCTCTTGAACTTGAGATCTGCCAATGCCGAGGTTGCTGCCTTCGTGCCCCTTCAGCGTGAAATGCGCCAGGTTGACACCAGTCACCTGCACAAGGCTCCACATCAAGCTACGAATTCAGGGGATCAGCTTCCCGCCAAACGCGGGAATGGCCTTCTCTCTGCTTATTCGAGCAAGTTGCGAGCTGGGCTCGATCTTGGTGGTCTGATGCTTCAAGCGTTATCCAAACCCAACCGTTCTGAGAAAACTGTGAATGAGACATCTCGAAGATCCCAAAGTCGCACCGTGTGATCCTGCAAAGCTGGTCGGCAAAGCTGATAGTTACTGGTGAACTAGGAAGTTGTATGTCGAAGTCCTCACCGCCAGTGGCAAGCAGCTCAGAGTTTGTGGGGCAAACTGCCACACTGGACACCTTGATTGAATAAACATCTCTGAAATGCAGATGCGCATTCAAGGCGTCAGTGTGACCATGCCTGAGTTACCTGCTACGCCTATGTGGCCCATCAACCGGCAATCAAGGTTGCCAGAGTCTGCGTCCCATACCTGCATCTAGAATGTATGTCGCAAAGCCATAACTACCCAAGCGTGCAAATGAGTCCTTGTGCGCACACCGTGTTTAAACATGGCCATGGAGCGAGGCAAAATAACATCTTTTCCGCAGATGAAGGGCTCTTGTTGCAGCGGTTCACCAAGCTCAAGCCAGCGCGGCTGATGACAGCTATGTACATTCACGAGCAAGAGCCAGATTTCCGCCACTGCCCCGCCTCGGCACACGAACACTTCGACTCCTCGGGACAGGGACGACATCTGAATCTCTTACAATGTGCGCAGCAGCGGCTATGATACATCCTCTTGGCCCAACTTGGTTCAATCGACACGGCCATCTTAGAACCAACACTGACACTGCCTTGCCTTTGCCTTGCGGGTAAGAGGGTCTCTCCTTCTTTCGTTGGGCTACGGCGGGTCCTTCCTGGCTTGGGTGCGAGCCCCCCTTTTGGGTCGCATGTTCTTCCACACAGCCAAAAGGAGCAGCGGTCTCTACCCCTCCGCAAGCAAGCGCGCACTCAGTTGGTGGGTCTACGGCGAGCCGGGTCGTCGTCTTTCTTTCACCAGGCTTGAGGGGGCGAGCCCCCCACCCAGGGGCTGCCCGCTGTTGGCGGTATGCATGGTATTACATGCGGTAGGCTACGTTACCAGCTTTGCCTTCAGTAAGTAACAAGCATATGAGTGCAAGCATAGTACATCATTCAAGGTTCCTGGGCTGCTGGTCTGCCGCGCAGGTTGGTCCGAAGCGGCTATTCCGCCCCACTCACGTAGGCCCCGTTCAGGGTTGTACACGACTAGGCACATGTACACAACTTAATTTGGGCGAAGAAGGAAAGAGCTCAACCTGCGATACGGGGCAGCTCGGCCAGCAAGCAACAACACAGAACTCTGAGGTATCATGCTGTTGGGCTGCCCCGGCTTCTACATGCGAGTGTTGGCCCCGATACCTCGACAACAGTTTGCACCCAAGCAACATCGATGCACAAAACTTCACGCTGCAACTTTGAGGGTTTCGGTGTGCTCGCTCGCAACGGGGGCCGGCCCACTGCATATGCTGAGGCTGCGACAACGACATGGTACTACACAATATAACATGACACAACATGGACTGTCGTGAATGCCCCGCTACTCTCAGCATGATGCCAGGGATCTACATACGTAGTGGGATGTACCGGCGCCCCGATTGCAAAACACAACACGAAATAAGGGCCCGAGGTACCTGTGCATCATCACATGATGGGCTGTCCCGGTACATCTGTGGTGCCCCGAGGTTGACCTACCTGCGTCTCAGTCACTGCTGTCTGGCTCAGGTGAACTTGCGGGTGTTGGTCGGTCAGTAGGGCTCGAAGTGACTCGTCTACGCCCCGTGTCCCTCTCGTACTCCGCCATGGCTTCCGCTTCTGCTGCTTCGCGTTCTGCTTCGGCTTGCGTGGCCGCCCCGCCATGCTGGAGGTCGTGCATCTCTTGCATCTCTTGGCAGGTCTGCGCCCCGAAGTCAGGCGAAAGGCCCATGTCCCATTGCTGTGCGAGGATCACAGTCGCCTCCTCGTCACTAAGGTCGTGGTCCTCTTCTTGGGCCGCCTTGCTCCGTTCGTGTTGCCGCTGCAACTCCAGGTCTAGCATTGCTTCCCGCTCCGCGTCTCCCGGGTCTTCTTCTTGTAGGTCCACCTGCGTAGGGGCTGCCGCCCCTGCGGTTGGCCATTCCGCAGGCCCCCCGTGCCCCTGCTCCTGACTGTCTGGGGCCCGCACCGCCCCACCATGGTGCCAGAGCAGGACTTCCGTGAGTGCCACCCCGCAGAGATGGTAGGCGTTTCCCTGCAAGAAGCCTCTGACCGCCGCTAGGTTTTGCGTAGCTTGTTCCAGCGACACCGCCCGTCTCTCTCTCTCTCTCTCTGCTTTGCTCGGGGTTTGAGGCGGGGGCAGACCCCCCGTCCTCTCTCTTTCTTTCACCAGGCTTGAGGGGCGAACCCCCCGCTGGGGGCAGCCCGTTGTTGGCTGGAAGCACTGCATTAAGTGCGACAGACTAGTCTACTGGCATGGTGGTTGTTGTACAAACACAAGACTGGTTGTCACATATGGTAAGCTGGTTATGTCCATGCCACTGAGCTCCCACCGGGCAGATGTTCCGCCCCTGCACTGCCGCACCCTGGGCTGCTTGTGCCTTGGGCCTGGCTAAGTGGGCTCGCTCCGACTGTGAGCTGTGTGTGGTTCACTACTGGCCTCTCGTTGCTGTAGGTTGAGTACGATGCACGACATGACGAGATGCACGACGTGACTAGATACCAGGGCCTTCGAGGTGCTAGCCAGAGTGGGTACCGGGACTCGGCGGCGTGTCTTGGCTGTCCACAGGGACCGGCGCCCCTCCATTGAGCCAATGCAGAACAGCTTGTAGAACTTCGCCACAAAGGTCATCAAAGGTCGTATGTCTGAAGCCCCACACCGCTCGCAAGTTTTGAAGGGCTTGCGAGCGAGGGTCACCTCCTGGGCCTGGAACGGCAGCGTGGGACGGAGCCAGAGCGTCAGCAGAGTGGCTACGCCCCGACATGTGTCCTCCCCTTCTGCCAATGTAGCTTGGAGGCTACATGCAGGTCGTTCTGGAGTTCTTGAAGAGCTCGGACCCCCATGGCTTCTACACGGCTGTAGACATTGTTTATGATATGGTGTGCTCCCCGTGCAGCTGCTAGTCTGGTACCCGCCCCAGAGCCTTCTCCAAACACTCCGGGGTTTGTGTCCATGGCCGTGGTGACTAGGTTGAGAGTCCTAGCCAGTTGCTGCAGTGCCATGTCAGCTGTGACATGTGTGGTGTCCTCTCTCTCTCTCCCTCTCTTCTCGCATGGATGCTGAGAAACTCGCAGGTAAACGGCTGACCGGTGGGGGGTGGGGGCATGCAGGTATTAGCTCCAGGCTAATAGTTGAACTCGCTGGAGAAGATCTGCGCCTGCACAGCCAGGGTGTTGTGAGGGGCCAATGCCACTGCCCCATCCTCGACGAAAAGCCTATGGACCAGGTCCCTGGCGATCTGTGTCACTGCAGGCATGCCCCAAATATGCCTGCAGCAAGATACTGTACGCGGTTACACAGTCGGTGTAAACAGCAAACTGGCCTGGACCAAGGAAAGAGCAGACCGCGCAACTCGGGTGGCCTCCAAAACACGGCTCGAGGCCAAGCGCGGGCCGCCATTCCATTGATCAGATGAACGGAACACAAAGCCACAAAGCGTCAGAGTGGCAGCTTTCCACCGTCGAGACGGTGCTCCAGCCTTGTCACATTGAGAAGAAGGAACCAATCAAAGTGGTTCGTGCCACCGCCTCAGCGGGCGCAGGAAGAATTCACATTGCACCTGTCTTGCACGGCAAGCACGGGGATGTGACTCCGGCCTCCGGCCACGACGCGCGATCGTGGATAGGGCAACTCAGCCCGTTGTGTTGGCCTTAGGCATCTGGGCGTCAGAAGCAACTTGGTGCCAGGTGGTCTCTTGCTTTAAGGCCTCTGCGTTTGGTTCAACAGGTCCTCCATTCCGAAAAGCTGACGCGTGCCTCTGTGCTGCGGTGCACTGACATCCACAGCGTACTTTTGGAAAGAGTTGAACCAGCCTCTGGAGTCTTTGAAGGAACCCTGCGGAAACGAGATACCTTCGAGAAAGGTCAAGGGACTTCAAGCGACATGAGACCAGCCATGACATGTGACTTTGGCTCAGGCCCATGGTCTTCCGAAGTTCCTCTGCATTACCCTGGCACGCCGCAGGCCGCAGGAGGAAGATGCGACATCTTGCAACATGCGACGCCTCGGCGAGAGCACGCAAGGAAGGCACCAGCCTGACGGAAGTGGACGCACTGAAGGGCTTTCAATGGGCAATGTCTGCATCGGCCTTGCTGCATCGATCTGGCCGAAGCCAGGGCCGGCATGGTGCTTCAGAAGGGTTTCCCGCAACCTGTGCCACGGTGCAGGTTCCTCTGAGACTCATCGTGTGAAGTGCTTCCGATTCCTTCTGAGACCAGCACTGCTTGGGGAAGGAGCCTCCCCAAGTGGTAATTCCGACCTGGCAGTCAACACAAGCGGGCAAACACGGGCGCAACATCCGTCCAGCCTCGGCATCTCGTCCAAGCAAGGACCGATCGTTGATGTTGGCCTGAGGGCGCACGACTGCCAGGCACGACTTTTTCGGACCCGCATGTGTCCGCAAGTGGTTCAAGGAACTGAGCTTGCGCAGGGTAGAATACATCTACACAGGCCCATTAGAAGTCGCCTTATGCTAATCCTTTAGAAGCAGCACTTGCGGAGAGCATCATGCTAGCTCAGCCTACACGTGCGTCTAGAATAGTCGAAGTTCGGATTCAATGGCAGCAGAACTCTCTACCTTTATTTGAACACTCTCTCAGTGGAGCTCCAGGTTTTTGGAAGTGGAGTAGTGACCTGTTCGCCAAGCATAGCCGTAGCCGAATCTCTGCATTCAACTTCCGTTGGCTAGGTTCAGGCTGAACATGTTTGTGCTCGCCCAAAGTCTGCCTGGTCGCATTGGCCCAGTAAAGAGGGCTCTAGCAGTGGTTGAAGCCATGATGCAACACAAGTCGCCCAGCTCACGCATAGAGAACTTCCAGGAAGCATCTGAGCTCCTTCCCTTCTGACTCTAGGCAGGGGCTGTACGGTTTGATGGAGATCACCGCGGTCGATCTTCAACAGAAACAGGTACGGTCCCCTGTTGACTAATAGGAGATGGCAAGGCCCCTGCACTATGACGGATGTGCATGTCGTGCTTGGCAAGACTGACAGGCCAATCGAATGAGCATCGCGCAGAACCAAGATAGCAAATCTCATCATCAACCACCATGGCCTCTGCATGCAGCTCTGCCAGCCAAGCATTTGCAACGAATCACTAACTCTTCTGCAATTCTGAAGCTGCCTTTGTGTGCGTAAAGATCCCATAGAACGCAGCAGCAGGGCCGCCGAATTCCTTCTCAACGCGAACAGCCTTGGACAGGGGGTCTACAGGCAGCACCCACTTGCGCTGTGTGCTGATGGCTTCAAGACACCGCTGGCAGGTAGCGCAACCTGCTGCCAATTGTCGAAGCTCGTAGCGGCTGATAGCCGCGTCCAAACTTCTGCTCTTGGGGACATTACTCTGCAGGCATTACTTGTCTCCTCGGATCCCCCAATAAGCTACACTTGACAGACGAAGTCTGTGCAAGAGCCGAGCAATGATTTAAATTTAGCAGTTTTCTGTCAAAGATGCAGGCGGGCTGCATTTGCCAAGAAGAAGAAGGACAGGTAGTCGCGCCAGTCTGATTCCAGTGCATGAGCCTCTACACAGACAGCCCAGGTGCAAGAAGAATGCAAACTCCATAGTGGCCTGCCAGAAATCCTCCACCGTTTGCTCAAAGCAGTAAGCCCCACGAAGATTCCTGCAAGAAGTCTGCTGCCCTGCAAAGCAGACTTTCCAGGATTGCAGGCAACAGGCAAGTTTGAGGTCAGGACGGATAGAAGGATCCGGGCCTTGCTCTGCCATGTCTAAGGCTAGGGCGGCTGGGGCCGGAGGCACAAGATGGCGTAAGAAGTTGCGCTCTACATGGTACCTTCTTGCACCACCCTGTGTCTGGCCCCGTGTCGGCGAGCCACGGAACAACTGGCCACCACTTAGCAGTAATGCTGCGAACGCGCACTGACTGCATCGGGCCGAGGCGGAGTAAGCAGAATTAAGCCAGAAAGCCACCAGAGCGGAACCAGTCAGACTCTTTCCTGCTGGGCCATCGGCTCTGTGCCAAGCGGGAAGATTATTGCCTCAGAATGGCGTATGACATCAAGCTTCCGCCACCAGTAAAGACAGGCCTAACACCATTCAGAACCTGCACGAGCAAAAACAAGTCGTGATGTGAGCGAGATTGGCGCCGACCCGACGGTGGGACACCAGAACATCTGAGGAATCCTTGTTCAGTGTTCATGCCCTCGCCCTCATCGGGACGTTGCCCAAGAGAACCCCCTACCAGATCTCCACGTCTGTCAGGGGTGAATCGACACTTGTGGGTTTGTTGGGCCTAGCTGCTTTGCTGTTCCCGGCATGGCACTTCTCCAAACTTCGGATACACATACAGAATAACATCCTGCAGAGCCCTGCAATTATGGGTCAAAGCCCACAAACAGGAACGAACCAGGGATGCTGCCCAAAGCTCTGAAACAGCGTCGGCATTAAGGCCCTCGCAACAGAGAAATGCTCCTTGAGCAGCGCGGCATGCTTGATTCGGTCCAGAAGCACCTGCTGAAGTGATCCAGTGACCGCTTGAGCCCGTCAGACGCGAAAACGCACCCAAAGGCGAGCGAAGCTAATTACAAATCCACCATGTCGTTCTCTGCCTCCCTGCTCTCATCTGACAGGCTGAGACAGCACTACGATGACACCCTCATACACCCTTGTTCTGATGGTTCCACTGTGTTTCATCGTCAAGTCAAGCGCGATGTGCTGCCGCAAACCCTGTTTGCAACACAGCTGTCACTGCATGAGTGATCATACGTTCCGATAGTTTGCTTGTCGCATGGCCATGGTGTCAGATGCGCAAGGTTTGTTCCCTCGCTGAGTGTGCAGCTGACTCGACTCTTCCGTGATGGGCGAGCACCACAGGGTCTTGCAACCTTCCTCCACCAGTGTGCTTGTTTGTATTCGGACGTGTGCGTTTGTGCATGCATGCATGTATGTGCACGTATGCACGCATGTATGTGCGTATGTATGCACATGCATGCATGCATGTATGTGTGTGTTTATGTATCCATCCAAGTGTGTGTGTGTGTGTGTGCATGTATCCATCTAAGTGTGTGTGTGTGTGTGTAATTATCTATGTATGTATGCGTGTATGTACGTATGTACACATCATTGTATGACTGGGTGTATGCATGCCTGTATGCACCTATGCTTGCATGTATGCGTGTATGATTGTACGCCTCTATGAACGTATGTTTGTTTATGACTGCTTGCATGTCTGCATGTACGTATGTATGTTGGACTGAATGAATGATTGGTTCCA